CTTTGGAAAAAAAATGCTTAAAACCACATTTCAGAACGTAACATTGTAGTTTATATTTCCATTTCGCGAACCATAACGTGTTAACTTTTTTATAGTGTAATTATCAATAATGATTGAGTCCATTAATTGTGCCACAATGGGGAAATTTACAAATAACAATGTGAGTGTTTGCAACTGACACAGACTGCCACTTGACAGGCGCCATTAGGGGTATGTGGTTTCTAGAATCGAGCCTAGGACTCTGCTCTCGGCTTAAGATGCAGGCGCTGCCCTGTGGAACCACAAATCACTGCAATATGAAACCACAGTTCTTATGCAAGAGTGATATACCGTTACATTTCTATATGTGAACAGTCAACGTAGCTTACATTTTCTATTTAAATTTAAGTTTGCCATTCAATTAAAAAAGCTAACGTTGTATTGTTTGGGGATACTGTTGTTGGCATTTGCTACCAATGTGCAGTGAATTCAAATGAGTTTTTCTCTCATTTATTTACATTTATTGTCATTTGTGTATTGGCCCATGTTAGTTAACAGTATAAAAGGTGTCTCTCATTTAGAGGTTGGGAGAATTTTTAACTATATTTCATTGGCTCGTTTGTTTTATTAGCCATGTGGTGTTGGCATGTCATTTGTTGCATTTCATGCATGTCATTTATTTACACCTTAGCTAATTCACAACTAAAAAAGCACACTGTCAGCCAGATTTGTGTTTTATGCAGGAAACTTTTCCAAAGTTGTGCAACCCTGTATTTGTTAACCATAAATTTAATCGTGAGCAGAAGTTACACTGAGCCAACAGACATTTAGACTATGATTAACTGAGTAACAGTCTGCACAGCCCTGACAGAGCAGGTCTCGCTACAGTAGATAAGACATTTTTGAGTTTAAACATATTGGTTTTGAAACTTGGTGATTCACATTAGTTATAACAGGTGTCATCACAGCATTGGGAGAGCTTGATGGGATTTGCTCATTTTATGTGATTAAGGTGGTTTGAATAAGAGTTTTTACTACTAGAACTCTGATCACACAGTGCAGGGAAAAATCCACGAGTGTTCTTTGGACTGGCTTTGGGGAATTTTTACACCTAATGTATTTCACACTAGAATTAGTTTCCCTAAGCTGCCTTTTACATTTTTGAGCCTTGAAAATATATGTTGTTTGTTAACCTACGTCTGACAAAACCAACAGATTGTAAAAATCCTTTTTAATGTACAATCCTAATGTCATACAGATGCTTCATATTTGGCTTCATGAGTCAAGGTTATGAGAGGTCAAGGTTGTGAAAACAAAGGGAACTGATCTGAAAGGATTGATTTTACAAGATAGGAATGTTTAATTCTCCAAAGGACCCTATTGTAAATTGCCTTTTATGCATCGCTGTTTTCAGCTTGCATGTGGTGAACTGCTTGTATGTTTTTCATTTATGTCCTGTTTTGAAATCAAGCTAAGTATTTGGCCTGGAGTGATCAAATCCCAAGGGATTTTCTCAGGGTAGAAGAGCTGGAGCTTATGCAGAGTTGTCATTACAAGCTTGCTGCAATACTTTGTATGTGCTCTAAAAATACCCATTGTGCGATGCTCCTTTACCAGTGTTAGGTTTCCTACTCATATGGATTTTATGAAGTTTTTTGTACAGTGCTGTTTCTAATATCTGCAAGCTGACTCTCCCTGTCTTCTCTGACTAGACACTTTTTTCTTTACTTACTGTGGTCCATCATGGTTGTCTAAAAATATCCTCTAAACAGAAACATATGCACATTGTGTTACATAACGGATTGGCACAGGCGAATCAATAGAACTGGTGTGTTGTATGTTGGTGTGTACATTTGTGAGGATGTTTATGGTGATAAAAAGAGGATCCCACTACAATAGTATCATGGTATATTTTCAAAGAGCGTTGATTTTTAACTCGCCACCATGGCCATGAGTGGAAAAAAAAAACAGTTATGGGAGGGTCCTGTCCATGCATGTTTGTTTATGTGCTCCAAACACCTCTGCTGGAGCAGACATCTATGCTTGTTTTGTCCAGTGCTCATCCTGCAGACCTGATAAAGCATAAGTGCTCCGACAGGCAGCACGCCATTGACCTTCTCACCCCCACTCAGGCCTGTGACGACTTCACTTTCCATCATTGTGTTGTCTTCCTGGCATGTGTCTTTGTGGCATGTATGGGGAAAGGACAAGGTGAAAGGAAGTTGATAAAAGAGATACATGGTGAAAAGTACTGAGGTCACCTTTTCCTTATTGATGTGTTTTGCCATCTCTTTAAATATAGCCTACAATGGAACCCAATACGAAGATATATATTATATTTTAAAAGGGCAGTATATTTAAGTTTTGTAAAAAGCCGTGACAGTGAGCGAGATCTTTCAGCAGCTAGGCCTTTGTAAGTTTGTGTGTGTAACTTCAGCACATTTTGATAGAAGCCATATATGTAGAGGGATTCTTGGAATAGAACTCATATGTGTTAACAGGAACTCTAAAAGGCGTTCTGTCTATTCGAGATGTTTTGAGATGAATTTCCTTTCTGTACAGGCAGTTTTTATGGTGTGGCCATTGTAAAAACACTATGTATCTGCTTCCTGGCTCATTGTGAGCTGTATCCCTAGTGGAGGAGGAAAATAATTAAGGATGGTGCTCATTATCCGGAGTTCCTCAACCCAGTTTTTTACGGCTTTACACTAGTCTGAACAGAATAAGAGGGTGAATTTTGTTTTTTTTTTCTTTCCTTGCCTTGCCTACGTTCAGCCTCCCAGCTGTCCTCAGATCACAGATTGGCGTCACTGCTTGAGTAGGTGTAGAGTGCATGATGGGCTGCAGAGGTTGGCTAAAGAATAGTCTTTAAATCTATGACATCAATACAGCCACAGTGAGTTCCGATGTCATTTGACTTAGTTCTAATTTAGGAATAGAAAATCTGGCGGATGTGTTTGTTTGTGCATTGGTGTGTGTCTGTTTGTACAAAGCTTTGTAATACAATGACCCTTGCACCTGTTGAACCACAGTGGGTTTCTGTGTCATTCTAACGATAAATGTCCTGTCTAGACACTGTCACTCAAATCTCTGGCTTATGTCTATCAACGTCCTACTTTTTCAACCCCCATTGGTTTTTACAGTATGTGTCACAAACATCATTTGCTGTTATTATTGAAAGTTGCATCAGGTCTTCCAGCAACTGCTTAATTTGTTTGGTTATATTTTTGGTCACTTGTTTTTAGAAAAGAATAGAAGAGATTAGAATAGGATAGTCTTTACTGTCATCGTACCACAGGAACAACTAAATTGAGAGTGCTCTCACAGAGATACTGAAAACAAGAACAGTACAAGAGAAACAAAACAAACCATCAAAAGGTAAAATCAATTTGTCTGATTTAAAAGGTATTCTCTTAACACAGAGACAAAAAGTGAATGTAGAATATACGGAATAGTGCAATATGGAGGTACTTTAGAATAATGAAATAAAATTAAATAATAATTTAAGAAGTGGCTATGTAATATTAAGTTGGCTCAGACAGGGCACGCACACCTTGAAGTGACTTTAAACACGTGCCAGGAGTGATGTGTCCAGACTTTCCAGGCGTACAGACCAGATAAGGACTGAAAGGAAATGTTAAGGTAACATTAAGGAAGCTACTTTTCTCAGCATCTTGCCAACACATCAAGGCTACAAGTGGTTTTCCTTCCCAGGTGGTACTTTTCATGGATCCATGTGTCCTCATATACACATACACTCCCATACACACACGTGCACACAGGATATTCCCCTCTCCTCTGATCTCCTGAGCTATGCTGCCCTGAAGGTGTTTATCTCTTTTTCACAACAATGAATGACATACTTGGAATAGTTTTAGACAGGATCACAGTTATCCACACTTACATTGTCAGGCCATGTCTTACCCGCATGTCCACACGCACACACATACGCAAGAGCACACACGCACAGAACCTCGTCACTTTGCAGGTTTAACAGATTTCCTGTGAGCTATTGTATCTGCTTCAAGGTGATGGTATCCTGGTCCTATCCTGGAGATCCATTGCGCTCAAACTTTCCTCCCCCATTTCCTCTCCTTCTCCACTCTTTCTCCCTCGTTTCTTTCTTGTTATTACCCCTTCCCATCCTCCTCTACAACAGACATGTACTTTTCCAGTGTACTCTTCTTTGGCAGCAAATGTCAATCGCTCCTTTTGTTTTTTGCCCTCCTGTCTGTGTCCTCCTTTTTTCTTCTGTTTTGTCCAGAAGTCCCTTGTGTTACCCCTGAGGATGTGAGTCCCAAGACTGTTTTCACACTGTGAAAACAGAGGCCAGACACAAACACCTGACTCCTAAACTGAAAGCCAGCTATCATGGCATGTTTTTGAAGTCTGCCCTTTTCTCTGCCTTTCTGATTTTTCCACACTTGTAATTAAACCCTCAAACTCTGTTTTTCTAGCAGTTATAACATAACACCACCTGCTATTTTCAATAGATCAGTCTATTTTTTATTATTTTTATATTTTCTTAAAAACTAATGATATATAAAACATACGTATGTATACTGTATGTCAGCATCTGCCGCTGCAATTATTTTTTTTATTTTATTAAATATGTTCAGCGTGCTAATGCTAGTCTACTTTTCTGTATTCGTGGCAGAAAAAATTCTGTCATTTGATGATTAAGGCTTGCTTTGGGTAAAAAGATGAAAAGTTTTCTACCCTTGTGATGTCAATGTCTGTGCACAAACAGGATGTCGTTTTTTCTTTTGATACGATGTAGATTAGTTAATGGGAAGTGATGAAGCCAAAGCTATTAAAGCTTAAAACAATTACGCGGTCATTTTTGTGACTCATATCTCATGGGCTTACTGGGTTTTTTTGGTTGTTTGTTTGCTGCAAATCTCATGTACGTGAAAATCATGCAGTTTACAAAACAAAATTTGGTCAATTGCTCTGTAGGCTGTCAGTATACCGTTGGTTGTTGTTTTAATGTAATTGTATTGTATTGAATATCTTTCCAGTTCTGCCAGCCTGGAGGTTGGAGGTTGTCCAGAGAAAGGAAAGCTCCCACCTTCTTCACAGCTGTGCTGACGGACATTGACTCAGATCGACACTTTTGCTCCTGTCTCACATTCTATGAGGCTGAGGTCAACCTACAGGTAACACTGCAGTCAGCACACCGGCAAATATGTTCTAATTAAGTGTGTTTTTAATGAAAAACTAGTTCAACGTGCAAACCACAAACATGCTCACATTGTTTTTTAAGTCATTAAAAATGTATGCTGTTTTAAAATTACTTAATGCATTTTAGATTTCTTGCTTCTTTGTTCTTCATTTCTGTCATCTCCATCCTTTCCTTATAAGGCGCCCTTCAGGTTGTCGGAAGGATATTCTGCGTTATAATATAATATAATAATATAATAATATATAATATAATACCCAGATAATCATGAGATTGTAGCAGTCATATCTGTGACACTCTGTGACTGATAGAGGCCATTTGTGTTATTGTTGTTGCTCATAGTGATACATCTCCTTTTCTGTCTCCCCTGCAAGGCTGATTGTTTTGTTGTGTTGTTTCTACATTCTTTGGCTCTGTTTTAACATTGTGGAATGTGTCTGATGTCTTCAAGAACTGAAGGCATTGGTAGGAAACAAGAGCCTGCTTGGTTGTTAGTTTTGAGGAACTGCAGGTTGTTGGTGGAATGCTATTGAGTTCTGTACGATTAAAGACACAACATGCACAACAGATGACTTCAGTGACTTCACATCCTTTCACAATCACAATCACATTCTTTTCAGCACATTCCAAGGTCTTTTTCAAAATGCAGTCAGTTTACAAGAAATTGTGTATCAGGTTTTAATTGGTGCAAGTGTCATTTTGGTGGAATGTTTGGAATGTAAATCCTATGATTGAATCTTCATCTCCAGAATCATAACTGGATCAACAAACTCCTATTGGAGGGTTATTTACTCACGCCGTTAAATCAACTGCAGATGAACAAGTAAAACAGGGCAGGTTGCAGCATCAAAGTGAGCAAATAACTAAAAATAGCCTTGTGTGCAGCTGTAAACAGTTCTAGATTAAAAATAGTATTCCTGTACAAGAGAGTAATACCACAGCAACCATTCAGTTTTAAATAAAGTTTCAAAATTAAATGACTTAACAGTGGGGCTTTGGCCCAGAGGCAATGTCTCTGTCATTGGTGTGGAACCCCAGGGTTCACCTCCTGGACAAGATTGAATCCCAGTTAGGGTGGTTGGCAACTTCCAGTGGACTCACCACCTGCAGGAAGGTTTGGGGGGTTGGTACGGTGCAGTGTGATTTGGGTGGCGACTGCTGCCCCCGTGACCCGATAACGGATAAGCAGATGAAAATGGATGGATGGATGTTAATTTTTAACATATAAAACCCACAGAGTTTTTAAATGTTTAATAAAGAATTAATAAAGTGTTGTCATAAGACCTATATTTGAACATCAGTGCTTATAGAGTCTTTATCGATTACAATTTAAATGTAATTAATCCACTGTGCAGGCACAATAGTGTATCAAACAAACCTGAAAACTAAGCAACTAGGGCAGACTTTACAAAAGTATTCATAGCATAAGCCTCATATTGAGTTGATATATAAACTGCTGGATGGTGTAGACCAGGGGTCATCAACCTTTTTAAAACTGCAAACTACTTCAAGGGCACTTAGATACACGAAGAGCTACTTGTTTGATACAGACGTCATGAACAATGTAATCATAATTAGTTCTGCTACTACAATAGTAGCCACTCTTCTTACCATCGTCATTGCAAATGGAACTGATTCAAAAACCACAGTCACAGTATAATTTCTGACTCTCATCTTGACAAGTTTTATTTTTAGAACATGACCAGCGGGCACCATATGTAGTCCACGGGGGGCTACCAGGCGCCCCCGGGCACCACGTTGGTGAACCCTGGTGTAGACAATAAAAGCACACTTTCAGTCTCATGCCCAATTTAGACAATGATATGTTTGCCTTCATCCATAATTCACATTTCTGAAAACAAAATGCACTACCTGGCACCAAAGATCTCCTTAAGACAGCCAAAGAAAGTCTGCTAATTGGACACATTTTTTTAGAATGTAACCTTCATTTGAATGGGATATTTGGAACCCGCACTTTCTTTGTCACAGTACGGAAAGAATATTTAATAAGTAGATACATTTTAAGTAGTTAAAGTAATTTGTAGAGTAAGTGAGGTTTAGTCATCTTCACGTTGGCATGTAATGACCAGATGTTTCTTTCAAACAAAAATACTAATAATTTTACAGTCACTTGCAATCCATTTGACGGTTGTGTCAGTCAACTTGTCCGAACTAGACTTATTTGCTGCACTGTGCTCAGTGAGACTGATTCTGGCGCATCTGAGCAGAAGTTGAAGCCTCTGCTGAATGAAATGGTATTTTAATCTCCTGCAATACGTTCAAATATCAATGTTGAATTTTGATTTATTTTGAGATTGCAATTTAATTAACATTAATCCACTGCGTAGACAAAATAGTACACGCCAAAGAAAAATGTAAATAAGGCAGCCTCGACAGACAGGCTTTGCAAAAGTTTTCATAGCATAAGGCTCATACTGACTTGATATATACACTGCTGGAATGTAAAGACAATAACAGCACCAGCCCGCTTTCAGGCTCGTGTCCATTTTTAGCCCAGGCTATATTTGGCTTCACCCAAACTTTGCTCGTCTTTAAAATAAATCCACTTCCTGGATCCCACTTCACGGCACAAAAGATCTTCTCAAAACCTGAGGTTGTACTAACAATCTTCACTCTTTAGACTTGACATCCTTTTCTGTTTAGCCTGATTCCAGTCAGAGCCCAGACGGCCGGCAAAGGAATGTATTTGGTCTCATAATTGGACAAAATCCTTAAAAATAATGATGAAATGTGACCTCCATCTGAATGGGATATTTGGAATCAGTGCTTCTTGGTCACGAGATACTGAAGCACTTGTGGTATGTTTTCACTCGCCTGAAAAAAATAAACCAGATTGTGATAAGAGCTTTAGTTAGGAATGAGTGCCGAAAGGCAGGTGTATCTGGAATTTAACAATAAAGATGACTGTTAAACCACACTGGTGCTTTACTGATCTTATCGGTGTAGAGGACGAGTGTAGATGGAGTGGCAGAAATTATTAGTGTACAATCAACATTTTTTACTTCACTTTACTCCAAATAATGAGGTTAAACAAATTATGTACAAATTATGTACAAATTATGTACATAATGGCATACTGTCATGATGTGAAATCTTTAGCCTTTGCTAAACAAAATTGTTTCTGTCAGTCATTACATAGTAATGTTTAACAAATGTTTAACATTTAGAGATATTATCCTTTTTTGACCTTGTTGTTTCAAAGATGGCAACAAGAAAATGTGTTTATTCTCTGGGCACAGGCCGATGTCCGATTGTGTTGCGTGAATGTTTTAATTTGTTTAAAACACAGATAAACCTGACCAGTTTCTTTTCCAGTGTTTTAAATCATTCGGTTTTAACATTCCTCCTAAACAAGTTAAGCAGTTCTAAATCTAACCAGCATGATGTGGATAATGTCCTGGCTGGAGTGATAATAATGACTCTGAAAACCAATGCAGAAAAATGAGGAAATATTTGTTGGGTCACCACGGAACTATCATAATATCCCCAGCATAGAGAAGATCTCCATACAAATACTGTGTGGAGATAATTGATCACAGAGATCACAAGAGAATCTATTTCCTCTGCCCACACGTGTCATTACAGTTACATTTCGCAAAATCCCAATTTTCTATTTAGCCTGATTTATGTTCAACTGCCTATTCATTTACAAACTAACGATGGACAGCTGGAGCAAATCCCAGCAGTCATCAGCAGGGAAGAGTACACCGTGGACAGTTTGCCAGGCCATCGCAAGGCTATTTACAGAGACAAACAACCATTAACACCCACCACACATACCTATGGTCACTTTAGAGACAACTAACCTAATCATGCAAGATTTGGAAACTGGTATTACCAGAAAATACCCCCCAAACACACACACACACACACATACTGTATATAGCAAATCCAATGCATGATTGGCTGTGCTACATAAACTGTGATTATTATATCTTGTACATTATTACAAGCCACAGATTTATTTCATCTGAATAAAAGTGACCGGAAGATTGAGAATTTTTTTGCATACTCTACATTTATGTTTATTAATTTTATTGTGCATAGTTGTTTTATTTGATCCGTTCTGTCTGCTGTTGAACTTGAGTTGAGTTTAAGAGTGTGTTTAATTTCTGGACAACATATTATAAACAACAGTTCAAGTGTCTCTGTCTGCCTGTTTAGACTTTTGTGTTAAACATACACAGTACAATCATGCCTTGCTGAGTACTCATTTACATTTCCAGTATTTCCTACTTGTCACTACACAATGACTGAGGGCCCTGTTTTTTTTCTCTTGGATAATGCCCAAATACCATGTGACCATTAACAGTAACAAACGGATGAAGATGCTTCTAGAAGCAGATTGACTAATTCATTTTGTAATTGTGTCTTTTGTTTCTTTAAAACAAATAGTTCAGGTTTGTCTTCAAGGCCCTGCATGTTACTTTTATTACTGAAACAGTTTCTTCCTTGTTGTGGTATTTCAGGGATCAAAAAGTATTGAGGCTGATGGGGATGAAGACGAGGAGGCAGAGGAGGACGGCCTGATCCAACCAGCTCAAGTGTTTGCACCAAAAAGTCTCATTCTCGTGTCTAGGCTGGATTATCCTGAAATATTTCGGGTAAAAAGACCTGATATGATCACAAAGATCTGAAAATGTTTTTTTTTTGTCTTATGCACCTAATCTTTCCAGGATTACTTCAAATTCAGTCATACCGTCTGTTATCCTTGGTGTTCTGCTAACTCATTCCTATTGCGTTGATGTATTTTTCCTATTGCAGGGCTGCTTGGGTTTGATCTACACAGTGTACATCGACAGTCTGAATTTCCCTTTAGATGGTCTGGTGGCGAACCTCTTCACATTCCAGGTTCCTGTGGCCGGTGGATCCCAGGTGAGTTCTCCCTGTGGTTTTAAAGTTTGTAAACCTGTCACTGTTCTGCTACCAGCCTGTTCCCCAGTGTGGGCTGCAGAACCAGACCAGAGCAGGAGCCAGACTTGTTTATTGGGGTGAGGTCTGAGGCTTGATGAAGCAGCGGCTAAAGTGATTTATGTTTGTCGTGCAGCCAACCCAACAAGTGTCGGGTTCAAATATTGCCAGAGACTGTTGTACAGCCACAGGCAGAAATTTTCTAATACGTGTTTGTCATTTTTTCCATTTTGTTGCTTGGAGCAAAATACCTCACCAGAGAGTTGGTCAGAAGAGTGTTCATTTCTTTAACTGTATTTATGGTTGTTAAAGGCAACATTTTAAAATGTCAGCTCATTAAAGTCAATCAAGAATTTTCTGGTGCAGTTTTGTAGCCAAATGTCCGAGGCGAAGCTGGAGTTTTTTTTTTCGTTTTTAAGTGGCCAACATCGACCTAAGAAATATAAGTGAAACATTTTAATGGTAGTTCATTGGTACAAGATGGATTTTCTTTTTAATTCATTCATTCATTTTAATATTATCTGAGGCGATGATTCTACTCGAAATCCTAAAATCGACCTTCAAAAATGTTTTGTCTGTTTTGTCTGCATAAGATTCGATGGTAGTGCCCCAACATATATAAGCATATGTAAAAAGTATGTTCATCTTATATGAGTAAAAATATTTAATTTTTTAAACATAGGTAGATTACTTTAGCCTGGTCATTTGAATAGTAGCTCCCAAGCCACCGTTCAAAATGTCATTACAAGTACAATGCAACATGATCTAGTTCCTGACAGTACACCACTGTGTTTGTTTGCTTTGTAAATGCAGCTTTGTCCCTTGTTGTTAATGTCTGGATGAATTTGCTTTCAGCAGCAGTGACTCAAGTCTTCTTCGTCTGCTCACTAAGGATCTTGTTTAACTATCACAAGGTTCCTTGAACACAGTAGTCCTATTGAACCTTAACCGTCCAATGCTGAGGCTAAGGCAGCAGCTGAAACTGTGAAGATTTGTAGGAACTTCAGGGAAACAAACGTTTGTGTCTGCTTGTAAAAATTAACGACATGAATAAAACACTTTTTCTATGGCAGAGAAACATGCAAAATTATGACCTATTTTACAAACCTAACCTAAGGACAAGGTCGGGCAGAACGGCTCACTATTACATTTTTCTTTTACTGCTGACTCTATTGTGTGACATCAAACAGAGGGCCATGTGTTGGAAACTTGGTTTCTTCTTTAAATGACTTGAATCCCCAGTAAAGTAACATTTAATCAGAACAAACTTTATCTGTTTTTAAAGGTTAGGTTTCTGTGATGTCGGCTCAGCTGTGTGCTGCAGTCGTTATATTGGTAAACATATAATTGAGGTTTACTCAGCAAGAAGCCTGCAGCTCGTTCAAATGGCTTATTCAGCCCTTACGGCGCAGCTGCATCATGTGCAGCAGTGAATAGCGAGTGTCTTGTTTAATTGATACAACCACAGAAGACTTGGCTATAAATCTGAATGAGTGAACGTCTGCTGTAGGAGCTACTTGACACTGCAGACACATTGGGCACAGACATTATTGCATGACTGTTGACCTTTCTGGCATTTTTCATGTTTACAGAAGCTGTTTAGCCTGGGAGCAGGAGACAGACAGCTCATCCAGACGCCTCTGAACGACACGTTGCCCGTCACAGGCAAAAGTGTTGCTCTGCTCTTCCAGCAGCTGGGTGGGTCAACACACTTTTGTTACTACTTACTCATTATCACAAGGCAGGAAGGGATTTGAGTCAATCCTTAGTGGATTTATTTTTGTGGTGAGTCAGGCCGTAAAAATTGATTGTTTGTTGGGATAGTGGCAGGTTGTCACATCGTCACAGTTTATTTTTTCTAGTCTCACACTTACAGGAAACTCCTTTTTTTTGCCTTTTATCTCAGTGTATTTATATACTCACACTTACAGGAAACTCCTTTTTTTGCCTTTTATCTCAGTGTACTTATTTATATAAGTTACTAAGTTCAGATTTAGTTTTTTTGTGTTGTAATTAAGAACCTTACTGTAGTGTAGCTAGTTTCAATAAACATAATTTTGGTTCTTAAAGTGATAATCTCTATGCAGTACATGTTGTTCTTCTGCAAATCTGTGGGTGGTGAGGTTTTGTGGTCTTTGTCTGGGCCCCATGGTTTTTCAAGTAATTTCAGCAGTTCTGTTTATCAACTGTACAAGTCCATATTCTTATGTTTTACACCATCAGTATTACACATATTTTACTATTATTTTTTTTAATTAACTAGAAAAGGAATAAGTTTGCCTCGATAATACATGTCATTTGCTTTGATGTATTCTGCATGGAGTTTCAGCGTCATTAGAAACGGACTCCTTTGCCCCTTAAGTGACAGTTATGTGTCCATTTTAAGTAACACAAATATTCTTATAACTTTTTATTTTGACTGAAGATTTGATTAAATTGTAGGCTTATCCTACATTTTTGATCTCGGAACAAATATCTGTGTAATACACCTGATATGTGATTTGTAATGGAAAGTTGGACGCCATTAAGCCACATTTGATTAAAAGAATGTTCTCCATAGCAGGGTGAAAATGTATTTCCTGCGTGTATTAACACCATCCCCTAGTTGTTTTGACACAGTGGAGAGCTTCCACATGGGGGGTACTCGCACGATACACATCTGATCAGGGTCAGGAGGAAGTCAAGCATTTGTAGGCAATCTGGATACACAAAACCAAACAATCCTGACATGGGCGGTCAATCATCCGGAGCTGGTTTCCATTAATCAGAACACTGGAGAACACTTGTTGCTTAGATTACAGTCAGACCATCTGAGGTCAGGAGCACATACAGTATTGGCTAGGTCAGTGTAAGTAATTCTTTATAAACCAAGAGGTGCATGACTGCATGAAGTCACAGACAGTTAGCATAACATGGTTTATATTGTTATTGGTTATTCACTGTCTGGTATGCACTGTAATTCTACAAAGCTCTGGCTGTTCACAGGCTAATCTTCAACACATAATGCAATGTTATATAATTATATTTTTGTTGCATCTCCACCTACGTCGGGGAATTTGCAGGAATTTAGGGTTAGTGCTGGTAAACACACAGCCCATACTTCCCTGTAGCTATGCCTACAAATGCATTTAAATATGCTGATCTGTATATTTTGTACAAGCAGAGGAAACATTCAGAATCACTCTTTATTTTAACCATGTCTATTCCTATTTTTCTCATTTGAACAATAAATACGATTATTTGATTTAGTATGCGCAACTTCCATACTATTAGGTTTCATTTTGCTGGAAAAACAGTGTCCAATCAGCTCTTTCATAAAAGTGAAAGTGACTGTGAGTTAGAGTTAATTATTTATCCGTCAAAGCTTAAATTCTCCGCCTCCTTTTAGGAAGGTGCTTGTGTTCAGTCAATTGATTGGCTTCAGTCACAGAGAACAAGTGCATCCTCTCTATATATGAGGTCATCCTTATGTCCATATAAGGATAAGCCAGTGGCTGTGCAGGCAGGCAGGTCCGCACATCTTTCTGGGTTCCACAGGTCACCGGAGTCACAACAGAGGAATGTGCGTTTAACATGTCACACTGGACAGGAAGTACATTCCATGCTTCCAGATAAATCCAGCCATCAGCGGTTCTGCTGTTTGTTGTTTGTTGCTTTTGTCTCTTCTGTTGTCCGGCACAGCTACTTGTATTATTTAAGTCTTTAGGAAATGCGTTCCTGTTTCCACAAGATAAGTAAACACCTGAACCTGAGACGTGATTGTGCCTTAGCAACGGTCATATGACCATGTCTTCATGGACAACTGTGTGTAAATGACATAATAAACGCGCTTGAATTTTTGACAAATGCATTTACCTTCAAATTCAATTTTTTTTTTTAGGCTTTTGTTTCCTGTTTATCACTGAGTTACAGGCAAACATCCAGAGCCAGCACTACCAGCAGCACGGATGTGTCTGCCAGTTTTCCTTTTTCCCTATCACTCTGATGTGTGATGAATTTGTCTCACGGTCGCTCGATAGGAAACAATAACAGGAACTGTAAACTTAGAATTTTTCCTGATTGTCACATCAGAATTATATTTAGTCAGTGTCGGTTAAAACAGCAAACATTTTCATTTTGTTAGAATGTTTGTCTTTATGAATTGTCTTCATAATTTGATTAGGATTAATTGTATATAAATAAAATTATATCATATATATAAATAGATGACATATAAACTTAAATAATAAATGCATTACTTTAAAATTGAATTGAAGTGTGTAAAAAACTAAAATGTTCAGTTTATATCTGCAACATTGTAAACACTTATTATACGTAATGTAAAAACCAATATACACTTCACTATTTATATTGCAATATACATTGCAGTGCATGATCAGTACTGCAGATAATGTACATATCATGTATGTTTAATTGTAGTACTCTGTTATGAAACAATTACTAAAAACCAGGAAGACCCCAAACATCAATATTGTTTGTTCTTATCTTTGTTCAAGGTTAGAAACAGCCGTGAATGATAAATGATCTGGAACAATGTGGTGCTCACATTACAAAAACATCATTAATTCCATTCTCTTTTTTTTTTTTTGTAATTCCAGGAATCCAAAATGTTCTAAGTCTGTTTTGTGCGGTTCTGACGGAACACAAGGTTTTGTTTCACTCCACCAGTTATCAGAGGTTGGGGGAGGCGTGTCGAGCCCTGGGAGCCCTCATGTTTCCTCTCAAATACAGGTGAGCCTGCGTTTTGACCACATGTCATGGAGGAATGTGTCATGTGACTGTTGAATAACTTCTAGGTCATTGTTACTGTATGTCATCCCTAAATAATACGACTTGACTTTGTCCATAATTGAAGCCATATTTAAAACTGCAGTGAAATCCCAATTTTTCAATCTTAAACACCCTCTGTAATGTATGCTCTGTCAATCCTTTTAAATGGAATTCTATATTTCTCAGGAATATTTATCCTTTTGTTGAATGCATTTTTACTTCGGTTGTACTTGAAAAATACCGTATGTATCTATCGAGAGGAGAAACTGATGGAATAGAAACTCCATTCCAGCGTCATTGGTTATCATCGTCATCACTGACTCTGATCCTACATAATCTTTGATTTTGTGCTGATGTAAAGTTAAGTGTAGACACAACAAGTGAATTGCTACATTTAATTAATTCAATTATACTTCAATTTTAGAACAGAGAATTGTTAGGCTCAGGTATTGGGCTTAGGTTGATTTTGTTTTTAAACCAGACTTGCCTGTGAAACATCTTTCCCATTTCAACATCAAATGGATTCGAAAGTTTCGAATACATTAAGTGTAATTTTAACTTGAAAAAAAGTTACGGGAACAATTCCTTATCCTAAGAAATGTGCCGTACTTGATGTCTCTTGGATCACATTGGTTTGTTTGTTTTAGGCAAACTGTCAAATTTTCAAAAGTTGTGAGTAAAACATTGCGATAAAAAGATACTGTCTATGCTCACTTCTGAGTTTCTCCTTTTTATTGCTTAATAATGAAGTTGTAGCAACAAAGTGCAGTTGAAATGAACCCACTTCCCAATGTGGAAGTATATTTATAGCCTTTTTATTGCCAACTTGTGTAATTCTCACTTATGTTTTTCCTGTCAGTCTCACTGAACAAATTCTGTGAATTCATGGTTGATTTCCTCATGCACAGTTACCCATACATCCCTATTCTACCTTCCCGGCTGCTCGAAGTGCTCAGTTCACCTACTCCCTTCATCATCGGAGTGCACTCCATGTTTCAGAGTGAGATCCAAGATCTGGTGAGTAGAGATGTGTCAGACGTATTCGGAATCAGAGGTAACCAAACAACCCGCTGTAAGTCATTTTCACAGTATTGAATCACTCCGGATTTTATTGTGAAATCTTAAAAAGGCGATTATTCATCCGAAAATTTTATGATTTGTATTTCACGTTTAAGATGAATGTGCCCTTTTAGTTCAGTAAGCACCATGTGTTGTGTGACACAAAATCCATTATTCCAGCTGTTGTCAGACCATCTGACCTGTCAGTGTTGTGTTTTATTCTCCAGTTAGATGTCATTATTGCCGACCTCGATGGAGGAACGATCAAGATTCCAGAGTGCATCCACTTGTCTCTGCTCCCTGAACCTCTGCTCCACCAAACACAGACGTCCCTGTCCTTGGTAAACACGAACACAGATCACAGACACACAACTGAAGATGCGCTATATACTGATAAGTACAATAACACCAGGAATTACTCATACTGCTCCAAAACCTCTGTCGGTGCTTCTGTGATGACTCAAGTTTATACTTTTACTTTTAAACGCCATCAGTATGTCAGCCAACTGTGCTGTAAACCATGCCATCATTGATTTAAACCTAAAACAAAGAGACATCAACTGACTTATTGTTTTGTTTGTTTTGAATGATTCCTGATGTTTATCTAGAAAAATAATATAAAATAAAATTAAAAAATGTAATCAATAAATAAATAAGAATGATTTTTGCTGGTTCAAATGGATTGTTAAAGCTTTCTTTTTTCTGAAGACATCAAACATTTTACCTGTTGTCTCATCTTAATAGATTTTAATAATAACCTGTGCACAGCAGTGTAGGAGTAGACAAATGTTGCTGTTCTCCTAATTAAGCCTAATTATGCTAAATTAATTTAGCTCCTACAATGTTGTCAGAATAAGTAAAAGTAAGTAACTTCAGTAATTGTGATTTTTTTTTTTCCCCCTCTAGGTTCTGCACCCAGATCTGGAGATAGCAGACAATGCGTTTCCTCCTCCTCGTACGGCCGCCTCCAACCTCAAGTTGTTGGTGAGTTGTCACTGTTCTCCTGTCCCTCTTCTTGACCTCCGTCTGTGTGAGACACAGTTACACTCCAAATACATATCTTGTTACCAAAAGGTTATAGTTGAAGTGGCACGGACTGACTGTACCACATTAGCCTTCAGATGAACCACGTGACAGTCTCCTAATTAACTGAGTGTGACATGTTTGTGTGATGACTCATGGCTGTGTCATTATCTACGTGTGTGTTTACGTGTGTGTATTCATGTGTTCCAGGACAAGGAGGTGAGGGCCGTCTTTCTCAGGTTGTTTGCACAACTCTTCCAAGGCTACAGGTCCTGCCTGCAGCTCATCCGTATCCACTCTGAACCTGTTATTCATTTTCACAAGGTAGGATAACGACAAAGTAAATGGTCAGAAAATAATCTGATTTTGCCCAAGACTGTTTTAACCTTAGAAAAAAACATTTCCATATTTGTCAGAAAACAAATAGTTGGTTATCTGACTGGAATGTTTTGAGTGGCTGTAAGTGTGGAATTACATGTAAATACCTGACAGATGAACTTGTCATTGGTGTATATATTTGGTGTTTGTGTGTCAACGTGTGTGTGCGTGCGTGTTGTTTAAAGCCTCCATGACTCTTCCTTGATCCTTTGTTTTTTCCATCTTCGGACACAGTCCTGTAACCTTGGTCACGGTCCAGATTTCAGACACATGAAACACATTAGGTTTTTTTTTTTTTTTGTTATTTGTCTGGGTTTGTGTTTGTGCGTGCCTGTAGAGTCTCCGTGGTAACACAACATCACATCTCCCTCACATGGTACCCCACATGGACCACATTATAAACAAGCACAATGACTTCTATGTCTGCTGCACACAAGCACAAACAATTATGTATAAAGTAAATCATTTGCCACTTCTCCATTATAGTCGGATTTATAACCTTGTGCTAAATTATGTGAGGTATGAAATATGCTGAATTAAGGAATCTATTTTAGAAGTATTTTATGGTCTTTCAGTCTGCTCTATATCTATAAAAAAAACAAAGCTTCAGTGCTTTTTTTTTTGTGGAATTATAACCATTTTAACTGTGACATTTTCCAGACTGCCTTCCTGGGTCAGAGAGGCCTCATAGAGAATGATTTTCTGACAAAGGTTTTAGATGGCATGGCCTTTGCCGGCTTTGTCTCAGAGAGGGGTCCACCGTACAGAGCCTGTGATCTGTTTGATGAGGTGACTACCCCACTACTGCACTGTACTGCACTCTACTGTACTTCATTTTAAAGTCACAAGTGTTCTTTTCATATTTATCCAGTTAACCTAACAATATTGTCATCTTAACTCAGTAGTGAATCATGGGCCATAGGCCTTAACTGTAAAACATGATGTAGATGTACACACATTACCTGTCTCCCACAGCAAAGTCCATTCCACAAGGATTAAAATATGTTCTTTGAAAAACATGTTTTACAGAACAAGTTTCACATAAACAACATCAGACCTTGTCCATCATGATTGCACACTATCTAGCAGGTTTCACCTGTGAGATGTGGAGAGAGAGTGGTAATACTATAGAGGTATTGGTTAAAAAATTCCAAAATTATTAGGTTAGTTACAATTGGCTTATTAGAGATACTTAGAAATCTAAAAAAAAACTTTACTGCTCTAAAATGTAATGTTTGAATGAATGAGGGCTTTATTTTATTTTAAACAAAATACAAACAAACAACATTACAATATTTACATAAATAATGATGTAGTATTTTTGTTTGAAAAGAAGTAGAAAGAAGCAATATAGTATTTAAAGTTACCTAAAGAACCCTCTTGACACATTTACAACTTTTGTAAGTAGGTCTTTTACACCAGGGTTTCCCAAACCTTTTTCTGGAAACCCATATTTTAAAAGTCACAAACCTTTGCGACCCAAGTCAATAGACATTATTCGTAAACTCCTGGGAGGAATGTTGCCAGATAACCCAAAAAAAATCGGACCCATCTGAGGGTCGTGACCCAGTCTTTGGGAAACAATGTTTTACACTACATTTTATCATTATGTCAGATTGTATGTTATTGTACATTACTGTAGTAAGGTAGTTATTGTGTAGAAACCACTGTTTATTTGTTATCATAACTATTTTGTTTTTGAATGTGTTGCCTTTTTGCAGTTGGTAGCCTTAGACGCTGACTGCTTTAAGGTAGAGGAAGTCAACCCCACCAAATTGCAGAAGCACATCAGGGAAATCTCTGAACAGCTGTTCAAAAATGTAAGTTCCCTGGTAGACAAGTTCTTTTTTTTACTTTCACGTTTCACTACTTATTCTAGACTTCCTTTTATACTCACGCCTGTTCCCACAAACACATGTGTTATTTGCTTGATATCTGCTACATAAACATCTACAGTATGTGAATTGCTAACATGTCCTGCTCTCTGGTAAAACAACTGTAGGAGAATCCCAATCCTCACATGGCGTTCCAAAAAGTGCCTCGGCCGTCAGAGGGATCCCACCTGCGTGTGCACCAGATACCGTTTCCTCTGCTGGATGATGTGAAGATCGAAAAGGTGCTGCACGAGGGTGTGGCCAAATACAGCAGCGCACCTCTTACCGTGCGACCGGAGAAGAAATGTGTTGTACCTGCAGGGCCCCCTGTTGGTAAGAATCATGTAAAATTATTACAAAATACCCAAATGGTACAATTCTGTACACATTTACACGTTGTTGATGTGACCTGTACTGACTCCTGTTTTGTGCTGTATTCTTATATTCCAGTGTCCATTATGGGTAAGAGTGCTTCCGTGTTTAACAGCGCTCGAAGACTGGAGGTCGTGCGGAGCTGCATCTCATTTATCTTTGACAACAAGACCCTGGAGACGGAGAAGGTAAAGTACGATGTCTTTGATCAGGAGGAGCTAACCGAAACACCTCTAAACAAGCCCATCTCTTCCTTGTTTACTTTCATCATCATAATACCTCCCAGATGACACGCAGGCAGAGAAATGGTCAAAGACCGATCTGGACTCGCTCTCCCTCCAAATCCTTGTACTTGTGTCGCTAATTTTGTTATTCCTAAGTTATAAATTCTGGCACAAAAAAAATCAGCTCAACGTTTCCTTAATTATAGCCCCCTGTATGTGACCTTTGAGGTCAACATTCTGCTAATACACCTTGACTGTGTTTAAAATGGGATATGTGCCAGTTACTTTTTTATGTTTCCCTCTGGCCTTAGGCAAAAGTTATATAATCCCGACCTGCAACTCTGTCCAATGTACGAATGCATTCTTCTGGACACCCCTGTGGAGCATGTAAATCCTAAACCACTGGTGTCAGTGCAGAACTGTCCTCGCTGATTCAACATGTTAATGCAGCAATAAAACTGGACGGGCATGGTTTAAACCCAATTTCCAGGAAAGTCATTTGACTACCCAGAAATTTACACTGAAGTATAAAAAATGCTTTGCTGTCTAAAACCACAGTAAAAGACTGAACACATCCTGCAGGTGCAGCGCAGAAGACTTCTCAGTTAAGAGGTTAATTAGGAAATTAACTAGAAGCTCTAGTCATTAGGAGTGGGAGGATGTCTGATAAAATTAAATTTCAATTCCCCAGTTAGCTAACTAAGATGCCGAAGTTCAGTCAATTGGGCGTAATACGATCTACCTTAGAACCTTGTTGATGAAAGGTTTTCTTTTAACAGACTCTACCAGCCGCACTGCGGGCCCTGAAGGGAAAGGCCGCTCGCCAATGTCTGACAGAGGAACTGAGTCGACACGTGCAGCAGAACCGCGCCATCCTGGATCATCAGCAGTTTGACTACATTGTCCGTATGATGAACTGTGCTCTGCAGGTGAGAAGAGCCATTCAAATACACTGATAGTCCCGATGACTTTATATGACTTGAACGAAATACTGTATATCAACTGGTGTAAATCAGGATCAACTCCACCCAAGTGAATGTGGCTTTCTAAGGTCTTTGTTATTGTGTTTAGTAACAGCTACAGTACAGTATGTGCAACTTCTCCTGAAATTGCATCATTCTACAACTCAGATTCTCGGGTTTGGTTCTTACCGAATGTGCTTGGCACATTAAATTATAAATTGCACAGTGAGTGTTCACCATTCATGCTGCTATCCACCTGCAGTTTTCAACTAACTCTATTATTTTCTATTTTGTTTAAATTTCTAATCTTTATCTCTTTTGTGTTGAATGATGCTATCATTTTCGCCAGCCTTCTTTTGAGTTTTTCTTTTTGTCCAAAATTATGTGATTATAAAAACAATTTTAATCTGATATATAAACAAATGGGAATTGTTCAGCAAATACTTATTTTTATTTTAAATATTTCATTGTTTTCACAAAACATAATATGTGCATGTTCTGGCTCTTTTCTCCACTAGGTGTCTCTCTGATTACCTAGCTTAGAAAACCAGCAATATGTTACTTTGTTTACTTTGGCAGAACATACAATTACAAGGAAATGCAAGAGTGTTGCAGTACAAGAGAGTGTGTCGAATCAGATATGTAAATATTTGAGTGATGTATCCTTAGCCCATGTTTTTAGCAGATGTCATTTTTATGAAGTGTAACTGTTTCTAATTTAGTGAAAAACAAGGTTAGAAGTGGGGCAGTAAACCTAACCTACGCAGCAGAAACTGACTTTTCCTTTCCAAATATTTTTCCAGTTAGCATTTTTTGAAACCCAGGTGAGTCTTCAGAGTGATACCTTTCATTTATTTTTATTTGTCTTCAGCCACCCGTGTTTCTCCTGTACTGTAGGTCTGTGCTGCTCATGGACTCAGTCAGGCTTTCATTCTGTCACAGCCGCCAGATCTTTGTTGGCACTTGCTCAGGTTTTACTGCTTTGAATCAGCCCCTTGCATGGATTTTAAACAGTGACACGAAGTGCAGCATTTTTATGGATTTACTCCACATACCATTCATTCCTCTTTTTTTTTACCCCCCTATGACTGAAAAAAACCCATCAATCCTAACATCTGTCTAGATGCTGACACGGGATGTCATTATTTCCAATTGCTTTCAGGTTGAAAATGAGATGAAGTTGAGCATAAAGTAAGAATAAATCAACAAATTCTCTTAGAGTTCATGTACCATACGGGCGATGACTCTCGACGATGTAATTCTGGTCAGGCTTTAACATTTATCACCGTCAAGATCGGATTCTGTGGAAAGAGACCTGGTCATTCCTCACACGTGATTGACTGGGAGTACGCTGTACTTTATCAGGTGTTTGCAACTCTTTGGTGAACTCTTCAAAGGAATGCTGACCTCGCTATTTTAAACGTATTTTATCGTATGAGAAGAACGTCAGCGGCGTGAAGTTTTAAAAGGCCAATTTTTGGTTAGGGTTTCTCTGTCACGCTGCTGAGAGATCGAAGCTCTGCAGTGAAGTCAGTCATTTGAGAAGTGATTGATGTGGAGTTGCTGCAGCGTCAGCTTTTGTTCTGATCATTGTTGTTTAATTTATCATTTCATTCATTGTTTTCTTACATTTTATGTAAGGTGTGACATTTGTCTCTGGCATTCATTTCCTGGTCTTCTTTGACTTGTGAGGAATTAGTGTCAGACACTCTTCGAAATAAAATTAAATACTAAATGGTAGGGACACACATTTGTTTTTTTGTTTGCTCTCTGCCCTTTCTTTGTTTCTTTTTTTTTTACATCCCGCCACATTAGAAACCTCTAAAATAAAATATACTCAGACAGCAGAGCATGTCCAGGATTTTTGGGTGCGTGTGTGTGTGCATGTGTGTGTGAGTGAAGGAAACAAATCGTTCAGCCAAAGTGACCTGTTCTCTAAAAAATGCTGCTTGGTTTTTGGACAATGACAACATGATACTTCATTAGATACTCTGGAACATGTGCAGACATGACACATTGATTTGCAGTAAAATCCTCAATATGAAACCAATTACAACATCTTCTTTAATGGGTCAACCTCAGGCTAAGTGACAGATCACTCCTCGGGTTGCACTCATTGTTTTTTTTTTTTGCAAATGTACAGTAGGTCAAAGGTTAGGACATTGGAGTCAGGTGGTGCAACACTATGTCAGTGACTGTTATTTTCTTCTTTGTTGCTTACATTTTTTCACGATTTCACAAAAGAATGTTGATAAACTGTCTGGAATGAGTCGATCCAGTCCCAGAGTTTACACTGACACATTTTTCCTGTTTAAACATCTGTTGGAATCCTTATCTGTGCTGTTTCCCTGCCATGAATCTGGCTCACTAACAACAGTCATTAAGAGTTTTTGGAGTTAATTACACGTTTATTTGCTTATGTGTGTTTGTGCTTGCGTGCACTGGTCAGTGCTCCCAAATGGAGAAGAAACCGTTGCGCAAGCCATGTGGGGGAATGAGCCCTGCTGTGGATGTATCCTGGCATCTCAACCATTTCCTGTCAGAATGGATTATGAGCCCTCTGTGCTCTGCTCTCAGGACTGAGGGCCTCATGATGGTGCTCAAAAACACACGCTGGGCGGCTGTGCACTGCATAAAGCGAACTGGCCAGGGGTCCTTGGGAAGCTGCGAGAGCCATGGCATTGAGTCCATGGGTCCTTTATGCTTCATCTGATGTGAAACAGTGTTTTATTAATAAACAGGCGATACATGTTACATGTTGGGAAAAACACCAGGTTTTTAATCAAACTGTCTGATGAAAGATGACCTGATAAAACCCGTGTCCATTTATTCAGTTTGAACTTCTCCTTTAATCTTGACATTTAGTCATGATTCAGATCATAAATTGGTCTCTTACTGTGAGAACATGGCCTAAATCTGCCTTGATGAACCTGATGAATTGCTTTGCATAATAAGGTCACTGGGAATTTTCACTTGGTTTCATTCCCATGGTCACAGTGGATTTTCTGCAGGATGTCCACTAGTGTGACCAGGTAAAATAGTTGTCATAATAACATGTGCATATTAATCTTCACACTGCAGAGGTTAACTTTGTGGCCATTTTCTATCAGTCATCAAAAGCTGACTTTAACAGTGACAACTTCGATATATTTTCTTGGTTCAGAAACATAAAAGTGTCTGTGCGTTTAAGTACCCCACACAGTTTTCCTGGAAAGTGCCAGACTCTATGAAACACACAGGAAGCTGTTGTTTGTTCACATCCTCTGGCGTCTGTGTCACATGTTAAGGGAAATTGTTTTTTTTCCTTACTGTATACGTGTCTGAGCTGATACAGGTCTGAGTTGGTGTTAGTCACCATAGACGTCCGAGCCTTACAGTAAATAATAGGTGTAGAGGAAAGTCTCAGGATGTCCTCACAAACAAACACACAAACATGGATGTGCGTAGTATTAGAACTTGACTAAGAAAAAAGAACTTCCTCACACTGTTGTAGCACGTCGATCTCTGCAGCTTTAAAAACAGATAACAGAGTCCTAATAATATGGTATGACATTTCTCCACATAAGGCCGATCGGCTGCAGCAGTTCTTTTTCTTAATTTAGTTTCAAGCTATTGAGATTTTGGAATTTTATTTTTTTGTTTTAGTAACAACGTGCTTTTTTTTTTTCCCTTATCTGAACCAGTAAATCTCTCAATGTTTAAATATTCCCCATAACAAATTACAATAACCTTATGATATTCAAATAGGTGAATTCAACTTGTTATTGTCAGTTTATTTTTGCTTATTCACGTGTGCTTTCTAATTAGTTTTGTTTTGTCTTGAACCCCTGCGACCCGCAGCATTGTTAAGTGAGCTGGTAAACAGACCCTCGCTGCAGCTCCAGGCTGGAACATTTAACCACAGCTCAAATAACTACAAAGAAAAACATCAGTGACAAAGAAAAGTAAATAAATAAATAAATAGAAAATATGCAACTTAGTCGACTGGGGGTCTGGATTTCATGTGTGACCGAGGCACTTGTGTTTTGCATTTTCTCTCTCGTTTTTTCCAGAGGAATGACGATAATCGAGGCCCACATTTCAGACCGCTATCAGAAAGTTCAGCATTCCTCAGCCTATCTTTCTCTCCAGACTTTAAGCCTCATATAGTATACAGCATAGTTATCAATGATTTATGTGTCTTTTCATTTTTTATGTGACATAAAGGACAGTAAATTTGGAACAAAAGAGCATATTTATGGCCATGATGTCCTTCTAAGAGTTCAAGGAACAACCCCAGGTCAAAAGCACGGCTTTTGTTTGTGTGGTTTAAATCTGGGTTATTCCTATTTACAGGGTTAAATATTAATCCATAAAAAGACTAAAATAATTTATCACCAATTTCCTGTAAATTAAATCCTTTGTGGTTCCAACTGTCTGCTGCTCCAACTATTTGTCATCATCTGAAAAAATGTATTTCAGACCCCCCAGGAAGACTCAATGACTTTCTCATCATAACCTTGTGTGACCTAATGTGACACTCTCACAGCTTTTGGTATTGAAACCTCCAAGGAGGCTCCACTTTTGGACACACTTCGGTGTTTGTTTGTTTTTTTTTTAAAGTCAAACTATTTATTTAATAACTTTCCCCTGAAAGGTTACTTAAATGTTCTGACTCAAAGGAATTTTGTAATTAATACCTCATTACAAATATTTGAATGGAATAAAAAATAGTATGCTTACAAAACCAAAAAAGTCAAGGACTAAAGGACTGATGTTTAGACAAGGACCACTCTGGAAGATTGCAGTTTAGCTGGTTTAATGGGTTTAGGTTTAAGGCTGTGTATAAAAGGAGCATCAACCATTGGTTCACATATTATTCTGGTTATTCATATAAACAGTATTGGTTTTTGTAAAGCAAGAAGAGATCACAGTTTTAACCCTTATTGCAGTTCAAATCCAACACACGTGAGTTAAAGGTGGGTTGTGACCCAATAATGGCTCTTATCTAATTTGTTAGTGAAACTGTGGTGTGAAATGTTCCGAAGACATTAAACGTCTGAAAATATATGCAGGACGACAAAGAATATTTACAGATTCAGGGGTCGTCGGCCATGGTGACCCCAAAGATTTACACACCTGAAAAACATTCTGGGCTATTCTTTGATTGACCTTTAAGTTCTGTACATATTTACTATACAGTTACAAGATAATTACAAGAAAGAAATACAGCTTTTCAACCTTGTATTTCCATGTTGTGTTCTTATATACAGTATGCACAAACAACAATTGTATCTTAAGTCCAACCTTTTTTAACCAGTCTTTACTAAAAGCCACGTTCCTAAATGTTCCATGTGTGTACTCTATATGTGTATGTGTTTGCATGACACGGCCTCCACAATTGAAAACCAGCGTTGCTTCTGTTGGGGTTCTGTTTTAAAAGGTGTTCATAAGGCAGTGTAACATGTCTCCTGCTGCGCCCTGCCCTTACTCCTGTGTTGTTTGACCTACAGGACTGCTCCAGTTCAGAGGAGTACACCATAGCTGCTGCGCTGCTGCCCCTGTCGACAGCATTCTACAGGGTAAGCACAACAACCACACACTAGATGCTACATGTGTAAGTTGAATTTATTGCAAATATACAAAATAGCTATAAAATGCCTTAATGTATGCATTGTTGTTATTTTTGAGACTCATTTGTGTCTTTAATTAATGCTGCTCTGTACAGAAAGGGTTTTACGGGGAATTACTGGTAGAGTTTTGTTATAATTTTAGATTTTCATATTTTTTCATATACAATAGAGAAAGTTGAGGTTGTAAGACAGCCACAGTATTGTGTTTCCAAACCACGTCATAGAACAGGTTGGTTGCTGTGTTCACTGTGATTGTGTCTCTGGAACTTGTTCATTGCTTTGGGGACATACTCACCAACCAGTGTAGGCCTTTTTTGGTACCGATGAAGCCTGGAACCTGGCTCACGTTCAGCCGCCATATGACTCTTCTAGTTCACATGCCCCAGACTGATGTAACCCTGCTTCTCCAGGTACGCTGAATATGTTGGCCACCAGCACTGGAAATAAATTTATGTCCATGTTATCTCAGCATGGTGCCCTGTGTCAAGTGTAAACGGCCATTTGAAAAGAATATGCCCGCCATTTGTCATAGGTCACAGGTCAGACACAATGGAGAGACTTCCTCCTATTGCGGCTGAACAATATAGGCAGCTACTTCTCTGGCACCGACATTTGGTTAGAAGAAATACGACATGCTCTTAGGTGACCCAGCTATGGTTGATCAAGCCCCGGTTGTGACCTGACTTGTCAGACAGTTAAAACACAACCGCAGGCCCTTTTGGTGCATGTAAAAACACATGCAGTGATGCCAAGCAGGATACAAAGGTTTTCTAAAGTTTAATCAGCAAAAGGTCAGCATCCACTCTTGATGGAATTACGGAAGGACTTCCAGCTGGCACTTCTCCACCATTCCCTGCTATTTAGTTTGCTTGCATTTCTAAGCTTCCGCCATGTGGTGTTGTGTAGGCTACAGTTTGTAACATGTAT